GCCTATGAGCTGGATTGCTATGCTCTAGAACTTATTTTATGTGTCCATATCAAAATCTAGTTTTGTTAGGACTGCCGTGTCACTAACAAATTCCAACCCAATTTATTTGTATTTAGAAGCGTTTCTAGCATAATAAAGAAAATCGTAGACGCCTTCCAATGAACAACCCAAAGGTAATCTAAATCTCCCATTGCGAATCAAAAACTACCTTTCAAGTTAGAACTTCTATGCATTGTTGGTATGATACGTCTATCAAAAAGCTCCATAGTATATCGCCACCCGAAAATCATCAAAGAAACACGCAAATCATAATGACCTTATGCTTATATAAATTCGGTAAGAGTCAAAGCAAAAGCTGTTTTTAGTGTTCATTGTGGTCTATTAGGTGTAAGGACTTGTGAAGAAGAAACTGGAGATGCCCATGGATCTTGATCTACAAATACCATAAACTCCAACTTCTCAAGTCAATTTCCATGGAGAAATCTCTTGTCCAAGATAAATACATTGTAATCTTGCCCTAAAAACTATTAGGAAGAAGCAAAGAGTTACTTCACATTTTACATTTTCAATACAAAGAAGCTTAATTTCAGAGCCTAATTGAAGATAACTCTGAATTATTATATATCAGTATATTGACTTGGAGGAAGAGAAAGAAGAATTTAATTGCACAAAACAGAAGAAAAAGTGATTCTCAAATTTTTTTTTCTTCTTTCTTTTACAAATATTTTTTCAAGTAGCTAATTGAATCTCACCAAGTTCTAGCTGAGCAGCAATATCCTCAAGCTGCTTCTTCACACTCATATCAATAAGCTTAGACCCAGATTCACCATACCTAATCGTAAACCCAGCCACAAGACTTGGATCAATCACCGTCTTCACCCTCACGTTCTTCGCTCCGGTCAGTTTCTGAACCTGTTTCGCGATCTGAGCTAGCTGCGGCGGTTCCAGTTTCACAACCGATCTTACCTCAGCCAATTGCGTATCCGTTACCTTGTTGTACACAATCTCGAACTCCTTCACGATCTCCGTCAATATATCAATCCGATTCGCATCGACCAAAATGTTTAGGAAATTCGATGTGTGGCTCTGAAGCGACGATGATTTCACGATGTCGTCGATCACCTGACGCTTGTTCTCGATAGCTATCGTTGGATTCGCGAAGAAATTGAGTACCTGTGGATCTGAGAATACTTTCTCGAGCTTCTCCACGTCTGCGCTCGTCAATTCGAGAGTGTCGTTGCGTTTCGCCACGTCGGCGAGTGCCATCGCGTAACTTCCGGCGGCCGATGCTGACATTCTCGCTCCGGCTGCGTTTCCGCCGCCGATTCGGTGTGGTAAGTTGGTCTTACGCATAGGGAGAGATCTGGAGATTTGGAATGAGGAAGGTGGGAGTTTGGATTGAAGAGAGAACAGAGTTTGCTGGAGAGACGCCATTGC